TTTATTTGACAGAGAGAGACACAGCAAGAGAGGGAACACAAGCAGGGGGAGTGGGAGAGGGAGAAGCAGGCTTCCTGCGGAGCAGGGAGCCCAATGCGGGGCTCCATACCAGGACGCTGGGATCATGACCCAAGCCAAAAGCAGATGTTTAACGACTGAGCCACCCAGGCACCCCTGATTATTTGATTCTTAACAGCTTTTATAACTTAAAGTTCATATTTTTAATCAATAGGAAAGCAAGGAGAGAGAAGTGAGGGAACTACACGGTAGTGGTTCTCAAACACCAAGTCATGTATTTCTCAGTCTCTTACAAACAATTCACTGACTGGTCTGCTGTGAAATAAAAATAAGGGTAGGAGAGATTGGCATGAGATATACCTCAAGACTAGAAATTGTTCATACAATTTTGAGCATACAGTTGGACTAAGAGAGGTGGCCTCACTTTTTCTAATCTACATTGAAAATTAGCTGTGGGAAAGGAACGCAGATTCTTGACCCCCGGGCACTATGAAATTACTAGTATATGGTAAAGCAGATCATTTAAGTGAAAACAAAATATCTTGGAACTGTTTTCCAACATATCCAGTACTCTTATCTTGTTCCTGTACTAGTTGTGGTTTTTCATTTTATGTCTGATTGGGGTTTAATATAGAAACTACTGTATGCGAAGTAAATGACAGTTGGACACCTGGGTGGCTCAGGTGGTTAAACGTCCGATTCTTGGTTTCAGCTCAAGTCATGATCTCAGGGTCATGAGATCAAGCCCTATGTGGGCTCAGTGCTCAGTGTGGCATCTGCTTGAGATTCTCTCCCTCTCCCTCTGTCCCTCACCCCCACCCCACCCCTGTGCACTTGCTTGCGCTGAGCATGGAGCCTGCTTGGGATTCTCTCTCTCCCTCTCCCCTTCCCCTGCTCATGCACTCACGCTCTCTCTCAAAAAAAAAAGTGAATGACAAATGACTGCTGTTTTGTTTTTTTCCCTTTAGAGACATCCAGAGAGTGCCCAGAAGAAACTTCCTGCTGGAAAAACTGAAAAAGCAGTATTTATAACACTGGAATTTGTGGATAATTTGTTAAAATGGCAGAAAATAGTGAAAGTATTAGCAAAAATGTAGATGTAAGGCCCAAAACTAGTCGAAGTAGAAGTGCTGACAGGAAGGACGGTTATGTGTGGAGTGGAAAGAAATTATCTTGGTCAAAAAAGAGTGAAAGTTGTTCAGATGCTGAAACAGTGAATGCTGTAGAGAAAACCGAAGTTCCTTTAAGGAGCCAAGAAAGGAAGCACAGCTGTTCATCCATCGAGTTGGATTTAGATCATTCCTGTGGGCATAGATTTTTAGGCCGATCTCTTAAACAGAAACTGCAAGATGCTGTGGGGCAGTGTTTTCCAATAAAGAATTGTAGTGGTCGGCACTCTTCGGGGCTTCCATCTAAAAGGAAAATTCATATCAGTGAACTCATGTTAGATAAGTGTCCTTTCCCACCTCGATCAGATTTAGCCTTTAGGTGGCATTTTATTAAACGACACACTGCTCCTATAAATCCCAAATCCAATGAATGGGTAAACACAGACTTGTCTCAGAGTGAAATGAGGGATGGTCAGCTAAAACAAAGAAGAAACGTGGAAGAAGAGGTAAACTGCTTCTCACATACCAATGTTCAGCCCTGTGTCATAACCACCAACAGTGCTTCATGTAGAGGTGGTCCTGTGACCGGCTCTGTGATGAACCTGGTTTCAAATAACAGTATAGAAGATAGTGATATGGATTCAGATGACGAAATTATAACACTTTGCACAAGTTCCAGGAAAAGAAACAAACCCAAATGGGAAATGGATGAAGAAATCCTGCAGTTGGAAACACCTCCTAAATACCATACCCAGATTGATTATGTCCACTGTCTTGTACCAGACCTCCTTCAGATCAATAACAATCCATGTTACTGGGGAGTTATGGATAAATATGCAGCTGAAGCTCTACTAGAGGGAAAACCAGAGGGTACCTTTTTACTTCGAGACTCAGCACAGGAAGACTATTTATTCTCAGTTAGTTTTAGACGCTATAGTCGTTCTCTTCATGCTAGAATTGAACAGTGGAATCACAACTTTAGCTTTGATGCACATGATCCTTGTGTCTTCCATTCTCCTGACATTACTGGGCTCCTAGAACATTATAAGGACCCGAGTGCCTGTATGTTCTTCGAACCACTTTTATCCACTCCTTTAATTCGGACTTTCCCCTTTTCCTTACAGCATATATGCAGAACAGTTATTTGTAACTGTACAACTTATGATGGCATTGATGCCCTTCCAATTCCTTCTTCTATGAAATTATATCTGAAGGAATATCACTATAAATCAAAAGTTAGAGTACTCAGGATTGATGCACCAGAACAATGCTAGGGAAGGTGTGGGAATATGGGACTGATTATATACATATTTTCATTTAATATTTTATTTTTCTTATGTCACTTTGAATTTTTCTACAAGGGCAGTTGAAATAAATCTCTGCCCTAAATTTTACTTCCAGATCAGTTTATTTTTCTTATGATAAACTAATTGTTTAAAGTTACACACTAGGGGTTAATGAATATTTTTGACCAGGTGTTTGGTTTTTGTTTTTACCAAATAGATTGTATGCTTACTTTTTTTTCTTAATTGTAATTCGCTTACAATCCAGGGATATTTGAAATTTGGTAGGCGTTGCAAACACAGTTAAATAATCGATACTTCATACTTTTCTTTAAAAATAATCTTACGTCCTTTCCTACATGTAAATTCCCTTGTTAACCTATGCCATTGGCATTCCTATACATAAAATATAGTTTCCCCATCCCCTTTTCAGAGTTGTTTTAAAGTTCTTCAGTAAAGCTGAGTGTGTTGTAATTCACCATCCATACCAATGTATTGTGTTTTGTAACTTAATAAATAATAGGGATGTTAAAGGTAACAAAATGATTTAAACGTAAACTTGAAGGGTTTTCATTTTAAATACTAACTATAAAGCAGTATTAGTAAATTTGATTTATCTGATCAGGAAGAATCAAATGAGAACATGACTTTTTAGAGGTGAATTTATTTTCTACCCTGTAGCATGGTCATTTATTTTTTAATAGGTCTTTCACTCAACCTAGATGAGTTGCTATCTTCAGGACAAATACTGTTCCTTTCTCACTGGAAGCTTTAAAAATAATGATAACACTATTAGTAAGTAGTAGTTACTAACATACTAAAGCAACTCTGGGGTTTTTCTGTATTTACTTATGAACTGTTGCTTCTGATTAGCCTTTTCATAGAAACTCTGAGCCTTTTCTTTTGGGGAGATGCCACAGTTTTATAAACAGCCAGAAATTTCCATCGGTAACCAAAGAGGGACCTAAGTAGTCTTCAGTATTTTAAAGTGAGCTTCACTAAAGATTTAAGAAGTAAACATGGAGCTCAGTTTTTTGAAACTTAATATTGGTTTTGATTTTCAGGTTTCAAATAATTATTCCTATCTTCAGAATTAACATGTCTTTACTGTGGCGTTTTGAGAGCTACATGGCTTATGCCATACTGAACAGTACTAGGCACTAGGAGTAATATTTTAAATTTGCTATCCCCATACTGAAGCATTTTTAGAAACGTCATTATCCCAGTATAATAAAGGTAAATGGAGTGATAACCTATCTAACTCCACTTTTTTAAAGAGTCAGTGCGTAATTTCCTAGACAGTCGTTTCTTCTGGTGAGCTGTCTAACCCTTTGTACAAATTGGCTTTTTTAATATCATAGTAATTGATTTCTTGATGATAATTTAGGTCCAGTAGGAAGCTGCGTCCACCTGGACTGAAAGAAACTTGACTCAACTTTCCAAGTTAGAACAGATGTTTCTTAAGTATCATTGCTTTTATTTCCCTTTCCTGCAGTTCTGTTGTAAACATAAAGATGGTATTTTTCAGTAATAGCTTTAAAATAAATTTTTAGCAATGACAACAAAATTAAACCAAGAAAATCTCTTACCATTTTCTAGCATTTTTTTTCTCAGTGATCTCAAGATTGTCTTGGTTCCAGGTAGGGTAACTACTAATTATGGCACCTGTCTGTGGAGTAATGAGGCTCTGGATATATCATTAACACCGATATCGGGATAAATATCTCTTCTAAAGATGATATTTTCCTTTTACAAAAGTAGAAAAGTCTCATACTACCTCATCTTTATTGTGACACTTTTGTAGATCACTGAGAAGGTTGTCTTATTTACCAATAAAACACTTCCTAAATATCCATTTTTGGTGAAAGAACATTAATAGTAAGACTCTACCCATGATTATAGTTTTTTATCAGATTTTGATAATGAGACTTTCTGTTTCTGTGAAACAATTATTGTTTTAAATATTTTTCTTTTAAAAGTAACTTTTTAGCAGTACAGAAAAACCTAAGGGATGACTAGCTAACAAATATTCTGTTAAAGAGTAATTTTATAAAGAAAAAATGAAATATAATTATGTTGTCTTTTATAATGGTAAAAATGTTTATATGAAAATCAAGATATAAGTAGCTTTTCATATATTCAGACTGGTTGCTTGTGATATATTTTCTCTGGCTTTCTTATTTTTTCAACTTCAAGGTATTAATAGCTGTTAACATTTTCAAAATACTGCCATGTATATATCCTTGAAGTAAATGATCTAATAAATGAGAGCAGGGAGGAGACTCATTTACTCTGAAATGGTTTGTATTTTTCCTTTGGTATTTGCTACAGTGAAAAGAAATCTGGAAAGTAGAAGTATAAAGACTTGAGAAGGGAATTGTTTACCATGAAGGAAAAAGGAAAGAGTAATAATAAATTTTTAAAACATTGAAGAATTGGAATTTAGAAAGGTTAATCCCTTTCTCTTTGTGAGGATACATTTGGAAGAGCATCCAGTATTCACAAACTTACTTTTAAAATGTAAAATATGTAATTATTGGAATATATAACAAAAGTGACTAAGTCATGAGAGGAACATGAGGAAAGATACAAATATATCTAAATATAAATTTTTTAACTCTTAAGTTTGTGGGCATTTGAAAAGTGTAAATTCCAGAGTTGAGAAAGCATCAGCATGGTGGAAATGTGTAGAGCTTATTGGTGAGAGAGGATGGAGCTAAAAGAAACAAGATAAAATATTAAAATTTAGAATTTAGGCATCACCTCAGGGAAGATCCTTGACAGTGAAAGGGAACTACTTAACTGCTAATAGCTAGTCTGGACCAGACACTTAACTGCGCTTTGGGAATCATCCTGCACTAATCAGGAAATAAACTTGACTTCTATTTCTCAAGCTTTTCAGGACAACCCCACCACCACCACCATGCATTTTTTTTTTTAAAGCTATTATAGCATCTTGATTCATATTCTTAATTCCTGAAATATTCTGAATGGATTTTTTTAGGTTCCTTGAGCATTTTTGTATGAAGAATCCTATGTGATCTTTCTATAGCCATGCCATTCACTTAAATAATTCATAGAGAGAATGGTTTAATTTAAAGGAAGACCTAATAGGGAGAAGATTAAAGGAAGCTTTTAGTCAGCCTGTGGTTAGATTTATTGATTTGGTGAACAGAACTGTGTTCTTTCCTGAATTTCAGCTAATGGTCAAAGAATGGCTTTCAGTTAAAGTTGTGACTTATTATAAATAATATAAAGAATGTCTAAGTAATTAGAAATCCTTTAAAAAGTAGAGTAAATGTGGGACTCATACAAATTCCATTTCTTTTTATAAGAAAAACACAAACCATTATCACTTATTCATGAGCCAAAGCCATTAAGAAGACAAATCAAGTTATCAGCTTCCTGTCTCTCTGAAGTTTGGATCATTTTATAGACCCACGTAATAGAGCGGTTTCTTCCTATGAAACAAAAACCTTGAAACCTAACTCTTACACTCTTAGTTTTCATTTAAAAACTTTTTTGTCACTTTTAGCTATAATGAGTCAAATAGGCTATATATTGATTTTGGTGGAGTAAATTTCACAGGAAAGTAGACTTAATTATTTCTGGAGACAACACAGGGAGAATAATGTTTAAATGTTAAAAAAAAAAACCCTGTGTGTTAAGTAATACCCAAATGAATAAAAAATTTTAAGTCAAGCAGACTATTGTTTCTATTTTGGAAAAAAATCTTTACAATTCTGGTCTTTAATCAGTTTTACACTTATTTTTATTTCTAAAGAACGAACGGAAAGCACAAAGGTTTTTTTTTTCTTTTTTTAATGACCTAGTAGAAATGAGCAATGCTACAAGAGTCTGCCTATGCCATTCTAATATATTAAGATATTCGATACAGTGGAAGTGACTTTTTAAATGGGTTGGCTTCTAAGAAGTGTAGATTAACGGGTACAGCGCAACGGAGAGGGATTTGGGGCACATTAACCCTATTTCAAATAAAAGCAGAATCTATTTTTTAATTTTGAATAGATTACTCAATCCTAAATCTTTATCTTCATCTCCTAGCATATAAAATGTAGAAAAATAATACTTGTCACGACTTCCTGAAGGTTAATTCTTCATTTAAGAGATGACCCTTGGAGCATACTTGAAAATAATTTCTGTAATTTCTTGAAAATAACGTGATAGAAGTATCCCCTCAGTGGACCCTGCAAATTCACATTCACTTCTTATAGTCTGTAATAGGCTTTCTTGGCTTGATTTGACAATAAATGTAACAGTACAATTTGGATTTATGGTTTAGACTCTGGAATTGGATGAACAATTGCAGTTTCCTCCTACCCTTAATAAGGTTTATGTAAAATTGATGTTTGCCTGTTATTTCAGAAGTTGATTACATTTGCAGGAAGTAAAGATAATCACTTTTGCTGTGGTTATAATCAAATCTAAACTTTCAGACTTAAGAAAGTAAAACTCAAGGTTTACTTAAATTACGCTTACTTTGCTAGGATTGAATCAATTCTGTATAAGCCAAGTATGAACTTGATATATACTTGAATATACAGAGTTTAAGTAGTAACTTCACAAAACTGTTAGTACTCTTGTCATTTGGGCTTGTATGATCCTCCCCTTACCCAAAAAGAAGTAGACTCTTTCCATTTTTATTTCTAATCCTGAAGTTGAATGTTTCTTCTTGGATGTGAGTGCAAATAAATTGATCTGAATAAATTTTCACTTCTTCTTAATTAAAACTTCGTATATAAAACCCAAAGGCTTTGTATTTTGTTTTTAAAACATTGTATATCCTGGGGTGCCTCAGTTGGTTAAGCATCTGACTCTTGATTTCAGCTCAGGTCCTGACTTCACGGTTGTTAGATCAAGCCCCGCCTCGGGTTCCAGCCTGGGCATGGAGCCTGCTTAAGATTCTATCTCTTCATCTCTGCACAAGCTCTCTCTTAAAAACAAAAAACTGTATATCCTGGCTTTGCACATTCAACTTAGAATCTAAAAAAATTGCGGGCACCTGGTGGCTCAGTCAGTTAAGCATCAGACTCTTGGTTTCAGCTCAAGTCATGATCTCAGGGTCCTAAGAGCTGTTTGGGAGTCTTTCCCTCTGCCCATGTACCCCCCTCCCCCCCCTGCTTTCATGCCCGCATACACTCTCAAATCTAAAAAAAAATAAAAAACTTTAAAATCTATATTACACATTTTCTAATTCAAAATACACCTTATGTCTTAATGTGTCAGTTTGGGTCTTCTAGAAGCAGATGCCAAAATGTGATTAAATGTGCAAGAGATTTATTGGGGAAACACTTATGAAGGAAGGTGTGGAAGTCTCCCTATCACTTTGCAAGTCTGACATACATGAAAGAAATGCAAACATTGATGAGGGTGGGCTTCAGACTGCACTGCAATTGTGAAAACGTTAGACGGGGACTTAGTGTCCAAGCAAAGGTTGACTGACCGAGCCCATGTGGGACAGGAATGACCTAGCTCTAGAACACAGTACGCTGTTGCTGAGAGCATGGAAAAACGAGGCTGTCAGTTACTCTGATAGTGACCAGGACTGGGGTGAGGTGGGTGAGGCACTCAACTTGGGCACAAAAATTTTTTGACCGAAAATCTCGTATTTCAGTACAACGTTTTAAATTCAGAATTAAGGGGCGCCTGGGTGGCTCGGTCAGTGAAGAGTCTGCCTTCGGCTAGGTCATGATCCCGGGGTCCTGGTATGGAGCTCTGTGACTGGCTCACTGCTCAGGGGGGAGCCTGCTTCTCCCTCTCCCTCTGTGGGTCCCCCAGCTTGTGCTCTCTTGCTCTCTAATAATAAAATATTTTTAAATACCAGAATTAAAACAATAACCTAATGAAGAGAAATGCCAAAATTTTAAATATAGTTTTACTGACTTCTGGTGACTCAGGCTTCCTTATAGCTCCACAAGGCACTGTGGATTCACTGACTCCTGAAGGCAGAGTAAGTCACACTAATACCCTTTTCCATAGACCATTTTCCCTGTCCAAAAATAAGTCTTCAACAGGCTTGGGTATTTGCAGTTTCTCTATAGCTCGTTCTTCAGTAAGACAAGTATGTGTGCTGGAGGAGCATACCCAGGAGTAAGTCTTCGTTTAAGAAATTTCTAATAAAATGCCTATGCCCAGTGACCCACTAACGGGTAACACAAAGCAAAATGTTGTAATGATTCTGTATCCTTCTAACGTATTTTTACGTATATGTACATACTATATGTATATATATTTTATACACTATATAATTATGGCATCTGCATAACTCGCTAGCAGATTTCCTTGGCGCTGGGGGAATTTGTCCATTATCCTTCAGAACTGACCTAGAATAGGTAAAGTTCTGAACATGTGGAGGGAAGAGGCATTGATCAGGAAAAGCCTGCATAGACAGCTTTTAGTATCAATTGCCAAGCTATTTACAAACGTCTTCCCTTTCCTGTGTTGTTCCTTTAGCGCTCCTCCATTTGGGCCCGAGGGCCGGTATCCGCTGGTTGGCCGCATCCACACCCAGCCAGCTTCGAGGCCCAGTTGTAAAAACCCCTAAGCGTAGGAAATCCAGAACCAGTCCTTACACCACTCCAGGAAACAAGTTAGCAGCTTCCGCCGGGATGCCCAGAACATCACTGACTACAGGCATTTCCTCCGAGTGCTCAGAATTCCGGAAAACCGGGGAGCTTTCTTCCCGCCCACCAGAAGTAAACAGCCACCCTGGGCGAGCCCGAAGAGCAGCCGCGCCGCCCCACCCTGCCGGGCAGGCCGCAGTACCGCCGGAAGCCTGCTGGGGGCGCGCGCGCTGCCCAGCCCGGCCCCAGGAGGAGGGGAGAGCGCGGGCGGGGGCGGCGCGCTCGGCGCTTCCTGTTCCGGCGCCAGGAGGAGCCGCGCGCTGTTAGTGCTGGTGTTGCTGGTGCTGCCGCCGCTGCTGCCGTCAGTCACTCCGCGTTCGGTTCTTCGGCACCCGGTTCGCTCGGACCCATCGCCGCTTCTAGACTTTGCTGCGGGCTCGGATCTTGCCGGGTGAGGCTGCTTCGGCGCTAGTGGGGATCGTGGAGGGGCGCAAGGGAAAGCGCCCAAGCGGGAGACAGGCGCGGTAACAGAGGTACCTGGAGTCGCCTTTTCGGCGGCCGGGACTAAGCGTCTGCCCCCGCCATCTTCCTCTGAGCTGCGACGTGCCCCCTGAGAGCTCCCCGGGGAGGAGGTGTCGGAGGCGGGTGACGTCGCGCCCGACGGGTTTCTCCGCACTTGACGTCAGGCCTGGTTTGGGGGCGGGGCGGCGAGCGTGCCCAGCCCCACCCCTACCCACCCCACCCCCACCCGTTCCCGGGCGGCGAGACCCGCTCGGAGGCCGGTTCGCTCCGGTTGATCCGGGGCTCTCTTTGTTCGTTTGGCCCTAAAGGGTTCCCGGCTCGCGCCCCTCGGCCCCGACCCCCTTCTCCCATTCATTAATTTCTAATAAAACGGGAGAGATGGGCCTGAATAGTCTTGGGGGAATCTGGCACTTGCTTAAGATTGTCCGCAATATGACAACGTTCTGGTCGTTACTTACCAAAGGAGTTGCTAGCTAATACATTCGATGAATACACATGACAAACCATGAGAAGCGCTGAGTTCTGTGATACTCTCTTTTTTAGGATTTGGGAGCTTATGTTACGCAGGGAAGGTTATAAATAGCTGAACCATTTCCTCTTTGAAAACCAAGAGCAGTGCTTTTACTGGATAAAATTTCTGTTGAGGCAGTCAAACCATACCGAAAAAAAATTTTTATAGCCTTAAAGCTAAAGAAATACACACTCTCACACCTGATGATTGTAAAGGCCTGTTTTGAAAACGAATCTTCATTACAGGCCAAGATAGCCTTCAGAGATCTTTCAGAAGTTCTTTGTTCGGCTGTATTCATTGGGCAGGAAGAACAGAAATTTTTCTTGGTACTAGCGTCTCTGAACCACCTATTCGAAACTAGTTTGTCTCAGAAACTTGGGTTGTGTGTATTAGAATGTTCTTTTCCTGTCTCCAGGAGGAACAGAGAGAGACCCATGCCTTAACTGCAAGGCTTGGGGCCCGTGTGTTTTGGAATTCGGAAATCTTTGGATTGTATCGTTAGATTTTAGGAAGAGAATAAGATGCATAGACAAGAGGTATCACCCCGGCAAAGTCGCGGCAGCATCCCTAAGACAACATTCATATTTGTGCAGTGATAGGTGTGACTTAATGGAAACTATAAATATCCTCGGGTCAGGCTTTGCCACCGTTTGGTGAAGGTTTCTTTTATTTTCGGAAGTTTCTGAATGGAGAACTTCAAAGAAAGGTTTACAGACCTATAACAGCAGTTGTAAAAGCTAACATTTGTTGAGTTTTCCTTGTGTGCAGGACAGTGACCAGGAGATTTGTTTATTATGTAAGTCTCAGGGCAGGTCTGTGAGGTGGATGCCATTCCTGTTTACTTACATCTCTGAGGTTTGAGGCGTTCAACCTGTCCAGAGCCAGCGAGTGAAGAGCTGCGGTTTTATCCAGGCAGTGGTAACTTTCAGGGTCACTCAACCTAGGCTGCATGCCTGTGTACAAAGGAAGAGGGGGGAATGTATCTGTTGCCCACCCACTATTTTTAGAGCACTGTTACTATAGACAATTTAGGAGTACCATTTAGTCTTTCACATCACTAGCCCCTTTATAGATGAAAAACAGAGTCACTCAGGTGAGCTGAATCTGATGGGGACACTGAAGCCTCGGTCTAAAGGCTCTCTGCTAAGACTCCTCTCCCCTCCCCTTTCTGTACTCCAACCAATCTGAACTGCTTACACTTCCCGTAGTGTACTCTTGCCTCCTCCGGCTTTGGCACAATCCGCTCTTCTTTTCCTAGGGCCTGTCCCACCATTCCCTGCTCCCAGCTCTTTCTTCATTGTTTCTCCAGACTGCAGAGGAACCTCTTCTCAGGATCCCGCCCCTGACCCTCCCTCCCTTGATTCCTTTAGGAGCTCTTTGAGGTACTCCCTTGCTGCCCTGTGCTTACTCCAGGTAAGGTAATTACTGTTTAAAGGTTAGTTCTTCACCAGACTGAATTCCTTAAGGATTTATTCCGTGCAATGTTGCTCATTTCCCTAAAGCCCAATACAGTGCCTGGTATGTATGTTCCAGGAATAAGTATTAAAAAAATGATTTTTTAAAGTTATATGGCTTTAAAAAATTTAAAATACTCCAAACCTTTATCAAGTCCCCAGATCCTTGAGTTGCCCAAACGTAAAATAGAACGTATCTGATAAAAGAGCCAGTAGTAAAAGGATATTCTAATTTAAACTTTATATTTTCAGTATATTACCATCATCTCCCCCCATTTCTCTTAGTTTCTTACTTACTTTTTTAAGAGGTGGGAAGGGGCAAAAGGAGAGGGAGAGGATTTTTTTTTAAAGATTTTATTATTGATTTAGAGGGAGGGTGTGGGAGTTGAGGGGAGGGGCATGGGGATGGTGGGTCTCAAGGCACTCCTCTCCTGGAGCACGAGCAGGGAGCCCGAAGTGGGGCTTGATCCCATGACCCTGAGATCATGACCTGAACTAAAACCAAGAGTGGGACACTCAACCCACTGAGCCACCGAGGCACCCCTCTTAAGTTTCCTTTAATAAACATCTTACATGTCTGTAGTACTTTATAGAGTATTAAACATGTTACTTTTAATTATCTGTAAAGTAGTCAGGAATTAAAACTGTCTTGCGGATGAGAAATGGTCTGTGGTTAAGGAGTTTGCCTTAGTCAAGAGGATTGATGTCCACATTTCATAACTGTCTAGTTCTCTGCTTTTTATCACTCCACCACAATGTGATGGCCCCTTTGAAATAGTGGCCTTGTTTGGTAGTCACTAGTAATTTACAGAGTTCAACTTTTTAAAACCTTGTGATTGGATTGCCATTTTACTCTAAAAGCCATAAGAGTTAACGAAATGTTTTACTTTTCTAGTGTATGTCCAAAGAAATTTTGTACTGTTTTTAAATTACTATTCTTGCTGCTCAGAAAATAGAATGATTATTTCTCAGATGATGCATAAATCCTGCCATAAAGTAGTAATGGAAAGTTTTGGAAATAATAGCTTTACAGTATTCTAAAATGAAAAATGAAAATCTTTCTTGATTATAAACCTTTTTTTTCTTTTGGCCTCATCTTAATTAGCATAATCCAGGGGCGCCTGAGTAGCTCAGTTGGTTATGTGCCCAACTCTTGACTTGGGCTCAGACCGTGATCTCGTGAGCTGGAGTCCCGTGTGGGGATCCACGCTGGGCGTGCAGCCTGCTCAAGAGTCTCTCCCTCTGCCTCTCCCCTCCCCTCTAAAAAAATTAGCATAATCTAGATATTTTGGGATAGTTTTTTAGAAAATCTAGATTTAAAAAATTATGTAACTCAAAAAAAATTATGTTACTCTTCTCATATTCAGACACGGATGTTCAACTTTATTTCTTACCTTTTTATGATGAAAGTAAGAATAAATTAGAATGTTTCCTATTTATAAGAACACTGTATATTCTAGACACGGAGAGAAGGTCACTTTACTAAAAGTGCTGTAGAACAAGAAATGATCTACTTTTAATTCCTTTAGTCAGGGCTTTGTTACTTAATCATTAAGATTCTAATAACCTCCTTTATCTTCCAGGATTTAATTTTTTTTTAAGATTTTATTTACTTATTTGAGAGAGAGCACGAGTGGGAAGGAGAGGGAGAAGCAGGCTCCCCGCTGAGCAGGGAGCCAGACTCAGGGCTTGATCCCGGGACCCTGAGATCATGACCTGAGCTGAAAGCAGATGCTTAACCTACTGAGCCACCCAGGAGCCCCCAGGATTTAATTTTTAACTTCAAATTTGAAAAGCCAGAGTTGTGAGTCCGTTTAATATTACTAACTTACGGAATAACTTACATTCTAATGTAATTTTATAACTAGTTAACTTTATATTGTGTGTGTGTGTATTTTTTTAAGAGGGAAAAGAGTAATGCTGAAAACCTGAACAGCAGGACCACATGAAATTGAATGTATTGCTTTGTTAGTTCTCTGCTTCAGAATTAATGTGAACTTTGATACAGAACCATTTTCTGTTTCAGAAAGGCTCACCCTATTTGAAAAACATGTTAATCTTAGGTAACTTGCCATGCACTGATAAAGTTTCTTCAGATGTTCATCTTAAGAATTTACTATTGTGTGATATAATGATTTATTATAAAACCTTAATGTGGGAGTGATTGGATAGTTGCTTTATATTCAAGATGTGTTTTTTGATATTCTGAATAAATAGCAAGGTCATAGCAGTTGTAGGCTTCATATTCTTTTTCTTTATCATTCCTGTTAGCCAATTGTACTTGAAAATAAAACTCTAAGAATGCAAGGATGGCTCAGTATTAAGCAGTTTTTATATATAATTAACTGTGTACATGGGTCAAAGGAGAAAGACTGTTGTGATCAGCTCATTAGATGTCAAAAAGATCTGAAGAAATGCAGTGTCATCTCTAAATGTTGTTTTTTCCTCTAAATGTTTTTTAACTAGCAAAATAGGAATAAATAAATCTAGCAACATAGGCATAAATAGACATCTTTAATGTAACTTTTTCCATCTCAAACTGAAAATGGGAATTTTATTTAAACATTGGAAGCATTTCAAGGAGAGTTGGGAACAAGACCATTGTGCTTACTATCACTATTTAACATTTCATTGTTAAGTTTAGCAGATGCAAAGGAAAAAAGAGGTGTAAATATCGAACAGAGAATGTAAAATTATTATGATGATGATGATGATTGCAGATGACATAATTCTTTACCTGAAATCCCAGGACATCAACTGTGACACTTTCAGGAATAAAATAATTTAGTAACGTTACTGCTTACAAAAGTGATACACTAAAGTTTTTTCACATAGGGGTGCCTAGCTGGTTCAGTGAGTAGAGCATGGGACTCTTGATCTCAGGGTTGTGAGTTTAAGCCCCACGTTAAGGCTAGAGTTTACTTTAAAAAAATAAAACTATTGAGTGATAAATGACAATGATGGGAACTAGGAAAATCTACCTTGTTCTTGAATGAGAAGATCTGATATTTTGAATATGTTACATGGTATCTAAATTAATCTGTAAATTTAATGCAATTCCAATTAGAACACCAACAGATTCTTTTTATTTTTTTACAAAATGATCTGGAAAAAATAAACAATATTCAGGAATTTAGGGGGAAGAGACAACAGCAATAGGTCATCTGACATTAAAATTTGCTAAAAAATATAAAGCTACTGAAATTAAGATAGAATGTTGTGGTGCAGATCAGTAGGGAAGAACAGACTTCAAAATATCCATGGGAAATAATAGAGGCTCTGTAGCCTGGTGGTTAAGAGCCTTGGCTCTGGAGTCAGATTGTACCTGAGTTTGACCCATTTTCTACTTGTTACTAGCTCCGTCCCCTTCAACAAGTTAACTTGATGAGCTTTTCTCAAGCTGTCAACTGAGTGAAAGAATGTGCATCTATTCAATGAGATTACCCACCTAAAACACTTTGAGTACTGTACCTGTTCTGTGGTAAATACTCTGTATTTGTTGTCAGTATTGGCAGTAGAATGTGTTAAGGGTAGCTTGTCATATACACCGAGAAAAGATAGATTATACATTAAGTTAGGGGCACCTGGGTGGCTCCGTCAATAAAGCATCTGACTTTGGCTCAGGTCATGATCTTGGGGTCCCAGAATCCAGCCCCATATCAAACTCCCTGCTCAGCAAGGGGTCTGCTGCTCCCTCTGCCTCTCCCACTGCTCCTTTCTCTCTCTCTCTCTCTCTCAAATAAGTAAATAAAATCTTAAAATAAAAGAGTGTAATTGGTAAAGGACTTTAAAGTGACATGGACTTTTAAGATGTATTTTATTTTAGATAGTCTTACCTGTTGACTGCATATTTCACTTCCAGTACTTTTTCCTGATGACACATTCACAAGGATATGTGTTGAGAAGTGTTCACTCTATCATTGTTTAAAACAGCTCAAAGTGCAAACAACCTAAACTACCACCAAAATGAGAATGCGTACTATATTGTGGATCACTTTTATATGATGTGCTGCCAGTAAAAGGGGATGACATTTGTAGAACCACATGAACTACAATGAAAGTTTTCCCTATATGAAGAAAAAGACTTTGCATACATGATTAAATAACAGTGGTATATACAGAGTTCCTTAAAGAATATATAGGACATGTTAAGCACTGGTTTTGAAGTATTCTCTTTTTTTTCTTTCTTTCTCTTTCTTAGGAAAATGTCTGATGAATTTTCGGTAAGTTGATGCATTTATCCTTCATAAGTATTTTGGCTCTTAAGAAAATGACCTAGTTCTAACTGCAGGCCATATAAGTCTTTTAATTTAAAAGAGATGCTTATTGTGATCTTGCTTTTGGCCAGGGACAGCATGTGATTTTAATAGCTGATCTGCCTTAATTGACTTAGATATAATATCTTTGAAATTTTATTCTGTTGTATGTATTTATGAATCCTTAAGTAAAAAAATTTAAAAAGTGTTAAGTTGCTTCTGTTCTCTGTTCACATGGCAGTGTTAATAATGGCCAGCATTTTTGGAATATAATATACAGCAGGCACTATGTTAAGGGTATTACATGAATTATCTCATTTAAGCCTCAAGTTAATGCTAAGCTTTTTCTTTTTCTTTCTTTTTTTTTTTAATGAGGAAACTAAAGCTCAGAGAGAGTATGTAACTTGTTTGAGGTAAAGCCAGGATTCAAATCCACAGTATTTTGAGTAATTGTATTTAGAAAATTTGATCTTCTCTAAGGAATTTGCATTGGAAAGTTGATTTTTATATTAAATGAATTGTTTTTAAACTGAGCAGCTTGGCTATTGAAGATGTTCTAGGAATTTGTAATCCCTACAGCTTACTATCCTTTATTAGTTTATAATCATGCTTGACATGATTTGGCCCTAAATAAGATTGATACATGCCTGTTTCGTATTCCAGTTGGCAGATGCACTACCTGAACACTCCCCTGCCAAAACCTCTGCTGTGAGCAATACAAAACCTGGCCAACCTCAAGGCTGGCCAAGTTCCAACCCTTGGAATAACCCAAGTGCTCCACCTTCTGTGCCATCTGGACTCCCACCAAGTGCAACACCCTCCACTGTGCCTTTTGGACCAGCACCAACAGGAATGTATCCCTCTGTGCCTCCCACCGGACCACCTCCAGGACCCCCAGCACCCTTTCCTCCTTCTGGACCATCATGTCCCCCACCTGGTGGTCCGTATCCAGCCCCAACTGTGCCAGGCCCTGGCCCCACGGGGCCATATCCTACACCAAATATGCCCTTTCCAGAGCTTCCAAGACCATATGGGGCACCCACAGATCCAGCTGCTGCTGGTCCTTTAGGTCCATGGGGATCCATGTCTTCTGGACCTTGGGCACCTGGAATGGGAGGGCAGTATCCTACCCCTAACATGCCATATCCATCTCCAGGGCCATATCCTGCGCCCCCTCCCCAAGCCCCAGGGGCAGCGCCACCTGTTCCATGGGGCGCCGTCCCGCCAGGAGCCTGGGGACCACCAGCACCGTATGCTGCCCCTGCAGGATCATATCCCACACCAGGACTCTATCCCACTCCCAGCAATCCTTTTCAAGTGCCTTCAGGACCTTCTGGTGCTCCACCGATGCCTGGTGGCCCCCATGTGAGTGTTAAATTTGTTATTTAAAATGCACGAACAGTCACATAAGCACAACTGAAAGATTATTCGCCTCCGGGTTCAGATAGAAGATTAAAAAGCATTTAAAACTTTTAAAAGAAGGGGTGTGTGTATATAAGGTAAGAGTAAATTTCAGGCTCCAGATAAAGCATTTAGAAGGATGAAAACAAAAGTATTCCTGGTACTAAAAATAGAAAAATTTCCCAAAGACTTTGTAATGTAGTAAGCAATGTCCTCAATAACATCCTTGAAGTAAACTCAGGTGCATTTCATTGGACTTTTTTTTTTTTTTTTTTTTTTTTTTTAGTATTTCTCTGTCGCATTTTATAGCATCATACCAAAGCACAGTTCGGTAAAAAGTCTCTGCCTTTGTGACTTCATACAGAGGTAGATTTTTAGAGCATCTAGGACAGTGAATACATAGCATTTCCTGTCCTTCCTGTAACTCTCCCTAGTGTTGCTCAGCCAAAGTTCTGTTAGATCCTCCGCAGCATTGAGCTCCAGATTATACCACTATTCTGCATTGTCAGTTACAGGTAATGCTTCATGCTTTACTGTCAGCCAAGCCAGAGTGGTAGGATTGACATCTTAGTTGGAGAACCTGTCTTGGACATACAACCAAATAGAAAAGCATCCCACTTCCCCCCAGAAGTAAGCCACGTGAGTCTTAAGAAAGAATCATGATTCTCCTTGGGGGGTGGGGAATGACTCTTAACAAAATAATCAGGTCTCCAACTAGATTAATGAAACATCCACCTCAACTGTAAAGGAAAAGGAATCTTAATAAAATGCCCCCAAAACTTACTTTCATTAGTATTAACTTCTTGCTATACAAATTTTTGTCTGTTTGTTTGTTTGCAAATTGTACGCCAAAATAAATGGGATGACTTGCCGTTTGGATTTACTAAGCAGTAAGTTTATTTTAAACCACAGCAAGGAGTTAATAAACTCCACTTAGAAAAACTGGAGGTTTACTTTTTCTTTTTTCTATTGCAGTCTTACCATTAAGTTAATGGACGAAGAGATGACGCTTTGCTTTTTGAAGTACATGTATATGCACACGAGTATGCATATATAAAAATTGCTGGTTTCACTATTCTTAGAGGGCATTCATGAAAGAACAACTCTTGCACCTCTCAGAGAAGATATCTGCCTCTTGTACTTGGATGTATAGTACGTCTGATGGATACAGTCAGATAAAAATGTAAAAGTAAATCATTCAAATGTGATTTTTATTCGGTTTTTATGGAACGTTAAAGTGATGAAGTATATTGCATAGCTCTTTGATACAATTTGTTTAAAACAAGATTTCAATTTGTTTAAATTATGAAACCACACACTTAAAAATCCAAGATGATGTGGATTATTGTTAGAATCTGCAACCTCATTGGCAAATTATTTCAAGTATTTTTCTATAATCACTTTTTCCCTAAATAAACACACTTTGAAAACAATCACATTGTCATAATTTAAACAAATGTTGCCTCTCAACATCTTGAACTGTTCTTTCTATAGAATAAATAAACCTGGTCCTCTTGAGGTTGTAGTTTGGATATATATTTTAAAGCTATTGGTAATTATTGTCAGATGTTGAGTTCATTAGCTTGGCAGTGCTCATTTTTATCCTTGAGCTTTTAGTAAAAACTTTTCTTCGATTTTGAGTTCTACCTGATCTTTATTTTTAGCCAGATGGGTCACACAGCTCTAAAATCTGCCATTTATGAAAACTTTTTTATTTTTAATGCAGGCCAACATGTGTGTAAATTATTATTAGAGAATTGGTCATCTCTGTATTGCTTTGGAATAGATTTTGAGATGTCAGTATTGCTTTGGGAAGAACTCGAAGAAGGAAATAATTCTCTCCTTTGTCTTAAACCTCAAGCCAGAGGAAACCCTGGAAATTGCTTCATAGTGACAAGTAACTTGCATTCCCACAGAACACTCTTCCACTCAGACCCTTTCTTATAGGTCCCTCTGCCTCAGTTCTTTAGAAGGAGCACATCCTTCAGTTTTTCCCTGATACGGAAAACTGGCACACTCTAGGAGTCTATTGTAAACACATATAGCAGTTAAGTTTCAAGAACCTTAGTCATTTAGACATGACTCTTTGTACAAGTGCGATCAAAATGTGTATGTGTCTTTCAGAGTCTGGTTAAGCTGTGTCATTGTCTTTTGCATAGTTTCCTGCATCTTTTGTAAAGTGCTTATGGCTAACAGTTTAGTTCTGTGTTTGTTGACAGGTAAATAGGTAGGATTGAGTGCCATCCTTAAAAATTATTCTCTAGCTCTAATACTGAAACTAATAATAATAAGGTGTAGATCTCTGCATTCCGTTGAAAGTAAGCAGTGTGACTGTCGCTTAAATTAGTGTTGTTTGTAACCACCGAAATATCTCTAAGTCAGATCCTTAGAGTCTTAGAACTGACTGTGTTATTTGTCAAATAACATTTTGAACCTTTGAATGTATCCATCGGGTTACTAAAATATGTCATGGATTTCATGACTAGTCTAGGAGAGATTTATGCTGGAGCTCTTGTTTTTGCTTAGAAATAAAATATTTAGTAGTTTGTTTCTCTTATAGTTAAAATGTCAAGAATGCCAAATGCTGCCAATTTAATGGTTTGATAGCTACCTCCTTTTAAGAAAGCAAGATGGTCATCTTTGAGAAGAACATTCAGTGTTTAAACTCCCTTTTACGTAGATGATAGAGTCAGGCTTTCAGAATTGAAGCTGATTTGTGTAGATACCTTCCGACTGGGGAATGTCGTTAGACAGCTCCTACAGAGTGGCACCAGCGGTCTTGTTTTCTTTTGCTTCCTTGCAAGGACAGGCCGCACCAACCTACAACACTCTTGGAATCTTTGGTCAGAGCAGCCTCCCATTTACTAGGCAGTAGCCCTAAAAGGTATTTTAGCTTAAATGGTCGGGCAGTATGTCAGCTAACGGGGGGATGAGAGGAAAAGTGAGACGGCGACAAAGACCTCTCTCCTGGTGGTTATTTTGGTTGTGTTAAAAGTTGGGAGAAGTTGACAACTCTGGCTTTAGATACAATATTTAATGTAACACTAGAGGACACTGTTTGATTAAGAGAAGTGGTAGCACGTTTGGGAATCTGTGATCGTGGAGTCCATTTATTAGAGGAGAAAATCTGCTAAAGGATTTGAAGGAACATGAACGTGAGATTTGGAATTACTACCCCCAATAAATAACGTCAGCTTGGCTAGTGACCCGTACTGCCCAGTGTGCCCTAGACATAACACCTTTTCTTTTATTTTCAAGGACTTTCCAACTGGTAGTTGTGAAATTTTTTTAACCTCAGAATGGAAATCAAAGGGACTAGAATTTGCTTTTATGTTCCTTTTAGTTTTGTAGAGCATTATTTCTCAGCTTGCGGGGAGAATCTTAATTCATGTGGGTACTCTGGGGACAAAAATGTATTTTTAGGTTCAGGGTAAAGTCAAAAGCAGAAGTTGTTCAGCAGAGGAATGGGGGGAAAGCACGGGGGCGGGGGGAAGGTTTTTCTCTTTACAAGGGAATAAGGTTGCTTTCAAAACCAGTCCTGGTAGGCCGGCATCAGTTTAGGGAAGAGACTGTTTCTTAGAAAGTTTGTTTGGTCTCAGAAGGGAATACACAGGATGGAATATGCTGGCACTTGGCCTCTCTCCGAGCAAGAACTTTAAGACAAATTTGATGGAGATAATTGAGATGTGTTGAGGATTAGTGTTTCTGAAGTTGGAATCTTAGATTTTGAAATGTTAAACCGGAAAATGAAAATAAAGATCTTAGGTCCTCATCACACACGCAGTTCTCAAGAATCAAGTCTCCCTGGAGGAGTGCTTGAAATACCTTGGCTTGTCTGTCCTGGGCTCAGCCTGACGCCTTTTCATGCTTTTGAAGATGGTGTTTACAACTCAGACTCCACAGCCCTGTTTTGTATAAAGTAGAATATAGATTATTCAGCAATAGGCAATACTTTTAATTACCCAAGGGCCTCCTTCCTTCGTCAGTTTTCCTGCTGTTTTCAGTAGAGAATAATAAAAGGGGAGAGAAAAAGGGGGGTGAATTTTTGGCCTTGGTCTGGCACACCACTACAACAGAATATTGGCCTATTTCTAGGAAAGAAGTCGGTTTTGCCCGTAAAATTTTACCTCACAAATAATAATAAGTGCTACCTATTGTACCCCAAAGGACAGCTTTTGAAATTATGTGTACAGAAGGACGAAGCTCTACTCACGTTTCAGTTGAGATGCTGTGCCTCGTTTGCGTGTCAATCAGTTGCCTAGACTTCTAAATGATTAGTGCCAATGTCTTCCTCACCCTGAATAAGTGAGTGCTAGATTTATAAAATGCCAGGGTTATAAACCCTGGACATTAAACCTAATAAGCACAGACCTTCAAGTGTTGGTTTTTGAAAAGCATAAGGTTAAATTCAGATGAATCACGCTGATAGAGGTACTATGCAGAGAAAGTGGTGGGCAGCTTTCAGGGAAGACTAAAATTTAATCTTGAGCAATATTGAGTATTGAAGGACAGACACTTTATTTTCAGAATTTTGCCAAGTAAAATTAAAATTGCCAATAAAATAATCACTATTAAAGAAATGCCAGGCAAGCTTCTGGCTAGAGAAAACATCTGAGAACCGCATTTGTTCAGCACTCAAGTGTCTGATCCTGGTGCTTTGCCAGCTCCCAGAGCTGCAGAGAAGAAGGAGAATGCCTGTCCCGTGGAGGCTTACCGTCTAGGGGTAGCATTTAGAGAATGCATGAGTACACCCATTTTTGGTTTACCTAGATAAACATGTTTTAGTTTGCCGCTGGTGGAAATGAGAGGCCAGCCTTTGGACACTTTAAACAGCAAAGTGTGGTGTACCTTTTTTTTTTTTAAAGTAAGAAATTAATGTTTCTCAAGATTGTAGTGTTTGTCGGTGCAACTGTTCACGTGTGCAAAGTAACAGGAGGTTTTTCCTCTTCACTTCTTCCCTGGTTGAAGGCACTTAAACTGCCTGTCACTGGTTAACAGATACTGATTGTTGCCATTAAGTAAACTTGACTTCTTATGCGTGCTCTATAAAGGTTTTGGGGTGGTTTTTTTTGTATTTTTTAATATTGTGATTTTTAAAATTGACTTAATAATGACAAATTTGATGTATGTAATTGTCTATGCATTTTAAGTTAAACTGCCTAAAATGTGATTTGAGACATAGACATTTGTTTTGTATTATGAACTGTAAGCAATCTGTTTGAGATGTTAGGTTTTATCACCTGCTGCTGTATTTGTAAACAAAGACATGTTGCTTTAAGAAGTAATTATAATTAGGAGTAGTCTGTTGATGTGATACTTGATATTTTTTAAGATAAACTTGTTTGCTTTTGTGTATTATACCTAAAAACTTTTTTTAAAAAATGTATTTTCATGGTTTCACAAGTTTTTCCCTGTATCTTATTCTTTAGGCCCAGTTCTGGGCTTCCCTGAGAAATCCAGAGCCTAATTAATTACAAAATTGTTGTCATAAAGAAAGAAAGAAAAAAAGGGCCTGAGATGCTCCTCGGTGTGTGACCTGCATTCACTAAGGCATTTAAATAGGCTGCCTGGGAATGACCTCCAGACCCTCTTTCAGCAACATGGTGTCCACTGTGTGGGTTTCCTCTTCTCCCTTCAAGGCTACATTATTCTTTGTAACCAAGTTATCTACAGAGTTGGGGAACTTTCCCTCTCTGCCCAACTGCCACCACCCCCACCTTCTTTTATGAAAGATGGTTCTATTCTTGTGTAACTACTATGCCTACCGTGAGGGTCACATTATCAAACTTGGTAGTTTGCCATTCCCTTTCCACAGTGGGTTTGCTAGCCTGTCTTGAACCCCGGTGTGGGTGGGGCTGTAAATAAGTCATTTGTACAGCATTATGCTTTTGAAAGAGTCTTCTGCTTTTTGCCTTATAGTTGGACAAAGTGCAACATAAGTTTTTAAGTTGTGTTTGATGTCTTCTATCCCTTAAAGGTACCCACCTCAAATGGAGCTCTGAAGTAGGTAGTGAAATAAAAGATCATTCTGGAGCAAGGCTAGGGTTTTTTTTCCCCATCGTGAAATGACATCACATCAGCAGACACGTTCTTCCCCGGGTCCCTGACCCAAACAGGTTCTTTTTTTACCACCATATTAAAACTTAGCACCAATCCTTTTTGCAACAGATGTCTAAAGGAAAATAGAATCCTATTCACTTATTTTCAGACTAATACTCTAGAATTTGGCCATCCCATAGAGTTTTGTTCCTGTGGCACATGAACGTGATTCTTCTTGGGTGGGCATTAAACAGTTATTTTCACTTTATATTGTGGGACCCTAGGGTTCCTGGGATGAGGTAGAGCTTAGTCCCTCCCTACTCCGTGTTTTCTCTAAAGCAGTTCCTCTCTTCCACTTATCATTTTACTTAGTGTATTAGCTTGGGCTGCCATAACAGAACATTGTAGACTGGGTGGCTTTAACCAACAGGGATTTATTTCTCAACAGTTCTGGAGGCTGGGAAGTCCGCAGTCAAGGTGCTGGCCTGCTCACTTCCCCACTAGGGGCTCTCTGTGGCCTCTTCGTGGCCATCTTCTTAACTGTCCTCCTTCGTGGGGGAGAGTGAGAAGCAAGCTGTGCTGTCTCTTAGAAGGACGGTAATCCCATCATGCGGCTCCACCCTCATGACCTCATCTAAAGGAATTAGCTGCCAAAGGCTCCGTGCCTAAATACCATCACATCCAGGGTTAGGGCTTCAGTGTGAATTTGGGGGGACAAGTTGGCTCATAACGCACATACGTTGTTGGGGGAACAAAACGCTTTGCTGCTTTTAAAATCCAAAAACGGTTGTAGATGACTATGTCCTAGTTGAGATTTGCTAAAATCATAATCAGACATTCACAAGTAGAAGAGAATCTTAGCCCATTTAGAATTCAAAGCTTAAAGTGTTAGTGTCATATAAAAGAGGAAATTAACACTTTGCTCAGTTTTTGCTTTGTTCCTATTTTATGTTAAGCCTCATTTTTTTATTTTTTATTTATTTTTAAAGATTTATTTGAAAGAGAGCACATGAGAGGGGGGAGGGTCAGAGGGAGAAGCAGACTCCCCGCTGAGCAGGGAGCCCCGATCCCAGGACTCCAGGATCATGACCTGAGCCGAAGGCAGTCGCTTAACCAACTGAGCCACCCAGGGGCCCAAGCCTCATTTTTTTAAATGGTCATTTAGACTAGCATTCTTCATAGATTGGTGGGCAGATTAAAAAGAGCCTTTTTTTAGAAAGGTTAAGTAAATTCCCAAGGTCATAGTA